CGGAGGTGATGAAAATAACCAACCAACATTCAGCGCCAATCACTATCAACACAAGAGGGATTTGAAAGAGGTTACTTCATTCACTTATCTAGGAAGCATTGTCTCAACTACAGGAGGAGCGGACGAGAATGTCAAATCGAGCGAGAATCGGGAAGGCGAGAAACACATTCACCAATCTGAAATCAATCTGGAAATCTTCGTCACTCAGCCACCATCGACAACAAAATTCGGTCGGATTTTCAATACAAACGTCAAGTCAGTCAGTTCTTCTATACAAATCGGATCAGAAACTTGGCGGGCGGGTCACAAACAATATTTCCAACAGCCTGTCGCAGACCTTTATCAACCAACACTTGTCTTCGCTGGCTCTATACTGAAGATCAGATGGCCGGGCCGGAAAGAATTATCAACAAGAAACTATGGGAACAAACAAAACAAGAACCACTCGCCAACCAACAGACATGCAGGAGAAAGTGGAGATGGATTGAACACTCACTCGGTGAGGAGGCCGCTAGGTGATATCGCGCGCGCGTCAGGCCATTGTTCGAGTGGAAGCAGGCCGAAAGGGAAGCGGCGAGTGGGACGTTAGTGTGAGGGTGACATGGAGGAGATCGTGTGAAGAGGAGTTGAAAGAGTATGGACTAACATGGATGTAGGTGAAAAGTAGAGCAGAAGACAGAAGTGGCAAGTGGAGACGTGGAGTTGAAGCCCTATGTTCCACTAGGAATCCAAGGGAGCAATAATAATAATAATTCAAAACAATCTTTATATGAAAAAGTAAGAGAAAGTGTGTTTTTGTAAGTGAGTGAAATCTTTAACCCCTTAATTGACACGGGGCATTGAGTCGATAAGACAACTCTAAAAGATTTGGATTTCGCGCGTGGACAATTTACGTCAAATGTCACACAAACAACACAAAGACTTGCAGGCGAAAACCAACAAACTGACTGAAGAGGCTGGCTGGATGGCAGGCAGTGACGCGACAGGAACAGCAAGTGAACATAGAGAAAACGGAGGGGATGAAGACAACCAAGCAATCAATAGCAACAGCAACAACAACCAACACCATCAACCGGAGAGATTCAACAGAGGTTACTTCCTTCACTTATCTAGACAGACAGTATCGTTTTATCAACCAAAGGTCAACGGCATGGATGAAGATGTCAAAGCCAGTCAGTCAGCCAGAATCGGAAAGGCAAGGCAAGATACGCCTTCACCAACCTGAAACTGGCTTGGAAATCTGTTGTCACTCCGCATAAATAACTAACACACAAATATGAAGTCAGTCAAACGGCCAGTGCTACTACATGGGTCAGAAATTTGCACTGTACGTGCTTCACGAAAAGGATTTCTAACAAGCTGAATACTTTTATCAACAACTGCCTTCATCACTAGCTCCATAGTGAAGATCAAATAGCCGACTAGAAAGGAGGATTCACGACAAGAAACTATGGGAACAAAGAACTTATTACTCAAGAAATATACAAGGAAAAATAGAGATGGATCAGGCATAAATAAGTTGAGGAGACGGTCGAGGGATATCGTGAGCAATGCAGGCCATCGATCGAGTGAAATCCCAATGCGAAGCAACGAGTAGGTCATCGGTGCCAGAATGACATAGGAGAAGATCGTGCAAGAAGGAGATGAAACATTTTGGGCAATTGTGACCCAGCTGAAGAGGATAGCGCTAAATAGAGGAAAGTTGAGATGTATTGTTGAAACCGTATGTTCCATTCGAAACCGAAGGGAACAACAACAACAACAACAACGATAAAGTCAAAATGCATCAAGCCTCCAAAAGCCTAGCCTACTTTACAATTCATAAAATTCTTTGCTAATCAAAGATTCTCAGTTGGTCTTTGTTTACAAAAAGATAGTGTGATTAATGTCACGCTAATCTGATCACTAGATATGCCTAGTCTACCTACCTATTGGTATTTTTGTTGACTAACAATCTTTTTTTTAAATATTTTTTTTTATTACAACTCACTGAGCTGAATTCATTGTTAATCTTCCAATTTAGTTGAGCTGCTTGTTTACGTGACAACTTATCATTTCTTTTCACTCTCTCTCTCACCTACTCTTCTCACGAACACTGTAAAAGAAATAACTGTCTGGAAAATCCCTTCTTAACGAACTTACCACAATATTTATGCTCATTTCGAACGTTTCAACTAACTACATAATTATTATAGTCATTTTCTCCTAGACTGTATGTCATCATATGTTGATTGGATGGACCCCTATTTACTTGTCTTTGTCTCCCACTGTTCAATCTTTAATTTGAATGCTCCTCCTCTTCGCAGTTGTACTATAAAATGATAATATGATGTCTAACGATACGGTATTGTGTGAATGAATAAAGGGGTCATTCTAACCTTAAGATTGTCTTGTGCAAAGCACTGATGTGTCATTCTTGAGGACTTTTGTGATTGGGATTGTGATCCCACCATTTGTCTGTCTGTCTGTCTGTTTTCGACATAGAACTTTGCACAAATGTGCGGAAGTTCAAGTCGCCACATTCCGTGCAGCACGCGAAGCAAGAGAAGAAAGTACAAGAAAAGCATAATAGAAACAGTGAGCAGAGGTGTGAGACAAAGGAGTAATAAAGAAATACAAAACAGTTTCATTGAAGATCATAAGTCACAGGGAGTGGATGCATCTGCGCCACTGAGAACGGTTTTGAGCCATGTCACCAATTGTTTCCAACCATAGATTTTTACCGTCCCGAGGACCCCAGCCTGGAAGTCTACAGCGTCCTACGTGGCTTAGACCAACTGTTGTGGATTTCATTGACTGATGCCAAGTTTTTGTTTGACCGCCGCTAGCTTTTTTCCAGCCTGACCCTATATCCGCTAACATTGCTCGTCGAGGGAGGCGATGGCTTGGCATACGTAACACATGTCCTAACTATCTCAGTCTTTGTAGCTTCACGACTTCGTCGATTGATTTCCCCTGTTTACCTAGAACTCTACGCCTAACCTCCATGTTGCTCACCTTATTATGCCACTTTACACGGGAAATAGAACACCACCATTTAGGAATATTCTAACTGATTGTGTAAGGTAGTCCTTAAAGTTGAAAAGTTTGGTCAACTAATTTTTTTTTCAACAGCACTTATCTTGGGCTTAGAAAGCAACATTGCCTGTAAAGCTTTCCTTTACGGCATTGTTGAAGTAATTTCGAGTTTGTGATGTTATTATCAATCAACAAAGGATAATCGTATCTTCGCTGTATTCGGAGTGTTGTGTGACAGTGTGTCTCTCAAAGAAGATTCGGTGAGATATACAGTAAGTATCATGCAGAGCTTGGTTACCTACGTTCAGACGGCAACGACCTACCTTATATTAGGTGAAAATAAACTCTGGTTGTTAGATTACTAATTATCTTTTTTAGACAACTATTCCATTAACCTAGTTTAGGACTCTTCACCAGTACGCACCCACCTAGATTTGAACGCCACGACCTTCTGGTTATAAGGCCAGCTAGCTCGTAAACCATTAGGCCATTGGGATCCGATACAGTAGGCGTAAAGAGTCTCCAACACACTAGGACGAAACAGCTACTCAATACTGCAATGCCAGTTATCCAATGGTACTTTAACCGATGTCAGTTCAATAATGAAATCCTGAAACCAACACTTGAATATCAATCTGATGCTCACAAGTAACTAGTCCTATTCAGGTAGGTAGTTACCTGGAGTTTTAGTGGAAAGTCATGAGCAATGGGGTGAAGTAGGTCCGGTGTTTGGGGACAAATACTCGCCACGGATGACATTGGCTAGTACCAGTCGCGCCAAATCATGAATAAACAGAAGTTGGATTTCATGAACTGGTCATTGAATCAGATCTCAGCGGCTTCATAGTCTACGACTGCACTCGCCTTGTAAACAAAGGGACCTGGGTTCAAATCTCCTGCGATGGGTCCCAAACTAGGCAAACGCAACAGCTGTCCAGTATTCCAGTGCTAGTGTCCCAAAGCCTTTTTCTAACCGATATCAGTTCATGATCAGATCTTGAGACCAATCAATCAAATCCCCGCGAACCAACAACACTTAAATATCTTTCTTCCTATTCATATCCAGATTTCTCACACAATTATACGCCTTACTTGAACTGATATCATATTGAAGTGTGTTATATGTGACTGACTGACTGGTTTCAACATAGAACTACTTCGCACTGATGTGCAGCAGTTTGAGTTGCCTTACTTCACTCAACACACAAAACCAGAGAAGAAGAAGAAGAGGGAGAAAGTAAAAAGAAATGCAAAATACAGACAGCAAACAGAGATATGAGGCAAAAAGAATAGCGACATCGAAGAACAATATAGTTTCATTGGAAAATATAAATCACAAAGAGTGGATGCATCTGCACCAGTTATTGAAAACGAAGAATTTAAGCCATATCACCATTGATTAATACCATCCCGAGGACCCCAACCAGTCTATACCTCAGTGAATGGCTGGCTAGTTTAAACTAAATGTTGTAGATTTCTTTAACTGATGTGGCCACGATTAGATTTGACCATCGCTAACAGCTCTTTTCCAACCTGATGCATCCTATGTCAGTCAGCTAACATTGCCCGTTGTCGAAGAAGGCGATCGATGAGCTAGACAGGCATGAGTAACACATGTCCTAACCATCTCAGTCGATGTAACTTTACAGACTAGTTGATTGATTTCCCCACCCCATCCCTTCATCCCGAGCACTCGAGCGAAGCCTCACTTCAATACTGCTCATCCTATTACACCGACCACTTAACACAGGAGACAATGCACACACTTATGATTAAAGATACTTAATTAGACTCTTCATTTCTTCCATACTTTCAATGGCCAGGTGTCACAGTCATAAAGAAGGATGGAGCGAACTGCTGCGCTGAGCATTGCACACTAGCCAGCTAGCCGGATATCACAAGGAATATGGAATGAAGTTATCAAAATCAAGTAATAATAATAATAATAAATGATTGGCAACTAAAGTAAAAAAAAAACTAACCGAAGTAGGTTGTGATAATGAACAACTAATGGTTCATAGATTGAAGATTTTAACTGTGTATACAATTTATTATACCATACAGGTAAACTGAATGTATGCACATAATACCATTTTTGATCCAATTTTATTCGATATACAGGACAATCGTATAAATTACGTTTGATGCGATTTTTAGACAAAATGATTGAATTCGAATTGTGCGATGAAATCTGTTCACCAACAAGAATAACATCATCATTATTACCGTCAGCGTTAGCGTTCGCATCTGCATCCGCATCAAAACTTTCAATATCATCATTAGTGTTAACAACACTATCAGAGATTGGAGTAGGTGTTGATATTGACTCTGGAGCTGGCGTTGGTACAACATTCTCATTGTTTACTTTGATTAAAGCATTTCGTGCTCGACACCATCGTGATGCTTCATTGAAAACTATTTTTGAAAAATAATAATAATAATTATGCAGTTGTTTGCTTTATGACCAACTAATCAATTTACAAAGAAAATTCTGATTATTACAATGATTATAGCTTTATTCCAAAACAGTACTTGCGATACAGAATGGAATTCTCAGCATTTTACTACAGTATCGCATCCAGTTAGTACATTAACAATAAAATAAAAATCTACATAGATTATGGGTAATCTCAGTTAGTTTTGACAACAACATATTGGCATGTCGGTTGCAAAGTCAAAATTGAACAGAATGTTTGAAGATGCTAGAAAAGTAGATGCTACCATATTTACTGGCTTAAGCGGTTACAAAAAGGTCGAGATATACAAAGTGTGAAAGAACGAAGAAGAATGTTTTCAATAGAGTTTATAAGGAAGAGAGAAACAAAGCAGCACATAACAGCACAAAAAAAGAGAGAGAAAAGGCAAAGAAAGGAAGAAAAACGTTGTACCCATAATTGATATGAGTTGGAAAGACGAGATCTAGTTGTTCTACTGACTATTTAATAATTTATAGGTATCACGCCTAATGCTTTCTTTATCGCACAGAACACGAGCTAAGTAGGCTACGGTTGAGTTTTTGTACTTGCTAGTACGAGCACATAGTTTTCTATGTGGGCTTCTGGTTTTGCCTGATGAGATACAAGGGGAGAGTTGTGAATAAAGAGGGTGATGTGAGTTAGATAGAATAGATTGAGCCCATTTTTCACATGAGTCCAAGTGCCTGTCAACCAGAATATTAATAAGCTGGTTAAGTGCCACATTGCATACCCTGCTGACAACCTTTAACATCCTGTGTAGTAAGGTATAGTCTTTCTTCAGTAGCCCTAGAAAAACTATAGAAAGAAAAACAATAGAGAATAATAGACAGAATGCGAGAGTTAACGAATCGTAGGAGTAAGGGTTGGGTTATACCAGAATGTCTTAACTTCTTGATGTAGAAGGTAAGACTGAATATTTTCTTAGAAGTCGTCAAGATATGAGACCACCAGGAAAGACCAGAAGATACAGTGATGCCTAGGTATTTAATTTCTGACTTGGTTTCTATTTCAGTGCCATCAATGTTGCACACCGTGAGTTCTAACCAGTTTGTTTAGGTCAGATTTATGCCTAAAGGCGAAACTGACTGTTTGGTTTTTGGAAGGGTTTAAGGTAAGACCGTTTTCCTTGGACCATTAGCTGATTCCTGATAAAAAGCCGTTTAGTTTAGAGCAGTCACTTTGACATTTGACAGACAAAGATACAGTCAGGTCATCAGCATATTTGACAAAATTAATGTCATTTGAAGATGGTAGGTCATGTAGAAAGAAAGAAAAGAGAAGTGGGGAAAGTACAGCACTTTGGGGGACACCAGCTTCAGTGAGCACAGCAGAGGAGGATTTACCTTTGTATACGGTATACTGCATTCTGTTTGAAAAGTAGGAATGCAAGCAGTTAGTGACCCAGGACTCAGTTTGTGTCATAGAGAGCTTATTTAGCAAGAGATATTTAGGTACAGAATCGGAAGCAGAAGTGAAGTCGAGAAACGCGTAGTGGACGTATTTTGCACCTCTATCTAATGATGAGACGATACTGTTGTGTAAGATGGCTGCAGCGTCTAAAACGCTCCTACCCTGTCTGTAGGCAAATTGTTTGGGGTCCTGAAAGATTTTAAGGGAGGCTTCATGTTTAAGAAGTACTAGTTTTCCCATAAGCTTTACAAACGGGGAAGTGATGGCAATGGGTTTGAACTTTACGTTTTTGCTATTTCCAGGTTTAGGGACAGGGACTATTTTAATATCTTTCCATGGAACAGGTACAACGTTTTTGGAGAGAGAAGCATTTAGAATGTTAGTTAGTCGAGAACATAAAGCATCTGCACATTGTTTTAGAACATATGCAGGTATACCATCAGGTCCAAGACTACATGAGGGCTTAATAGTTTTAAGACATTTCAAAACATCGAGAGTGTTAAAGTCCTGGAAGTTATTAGCTACATGATTAGTAACGCTAGAAGTGGTTATAGTAGAAAGAGGGTGTATAAAAGACTGATTAAGTGTTAACATCATAAGAGGGAAAAACATTACATAGCTTACTATTGCCAGTAATTTCATTGAAAAGTTTCCACATGCTGATAGGAGATTCGCATGATAAAAGTGTTTGGTTATAAATAGCATTAAGATTTTCGATTTCAGATTTGATTTGAGCATCGATCATCTCTTTAAGTCCTAACTTATATCAATTTATATTGAAATTAGTTGGATTTCTGTTGACCTATTGCCCTTCTCCTAGTAATAGAGATATGCTTCTCGACAGGCAGAGGGTCTAACTAGACGACAATAATATCAACACAGAGACCAAGACCAAGAATTTCAGTCTAGTAGAATGAATCAACAAGAGGCGGAGAAATAGACTCTAGTTGACTACTACTGAATAACCACTTTGACGCTTAGAAAGAACCATGAGCACTAGGAGGTTCAAATCTCGTTGAGAATCTAAGTACACCCAATTGATGTGTATTAAACAGGATAAAATGTACGTCATAGATTCCAGTACTATTTTCACTACTTTGATTCGACACTAGATAGGGGTTCGAACCCACGCCGACGCACACCTGATATCTATGGTCGGCCTGCGAAATTTGGGCTACCGATATCCACGCTGAAAATTCCATACTTGTACCAAAAATACGGTGTGGAATCAAGCTGTAATCGAAAATAAAAAAAAGTAGTTGTCATGCGTCCAGTTCTTGTTGTTAGTGCAGATTGGATTTTATCAGTTCGTTAAGTTTTCAATGTGGTTACCGACAAGCTCGATGGTTTGCCATCACAGTGAACTCTGAATTTTTTGTTATTGAATGGTCAGCAGGAAGCCTTAGGCCTAGGTTTCGGGCTTTTTTGCGCTCACTAGTCAGTAAGGCATGTATGCAATCTTCAAGGAACTCCTGTCCTCGTGATATTAGATAGCTGGAGGCAATCGGCAGGAAGCCTTGGACAGAGAATGGTGGCCACATTGCAAACCTGACTGAGTGATAGAATTCAGTCTGCACAGAACAAAGGACTAGACACATCGCAGTAGTTAATAGTGCCCAATCAAAGTATCCACTACAGTCATACAGGAAGTCAATCGAGAGCCTGAATAGCTCAATGGTAGAGTCTCTGACTGCAGCCGGAACTGGGTTACACGGGTTCGAATCTCAAAAGGAGGGATATGAGTTCCTTCAAGGTTGCAGATACGCCCTGCTGACTGGAAAGTGTCAACTAGCACAAAACCTAGGTCAAACAAGGCTTCCTACCGATTGCCGTCAACCATCTAATATATCATCAAATCAATGTACACCGTGATGGCGAGCTACCTAGTGGAATGGTAGCCACATTGCAAACCTGACTGACTGATAGAATTCAGTCTGCATCGAAGAAAGGACTAGACACATAGTACTAGTTACCATTGTCCAATCAAAGAACACCTGTCCCCTATGAGATGCATAGTAACTAGTGTGGTGTGTCTAGTCCTCCTATCTCTTTAGTGCAGACTGAATTCTATCAGTCAGTTAGTCAGGTTTTTCAGCGTGACCACCATTCACTAGAGTAGCTCATCATCACGGTGCACATTGATTTGATATCTGATATACCTTTTTGATGTGGTTGTGTTCTCTGAGCTGGATAGTTAATTTGACTTCAAATTGAAGTATGCGTTGAAGATGTCACCTAGTGGTGGGGTGATGAAGACTTCCCAAACTAACTATCCAGCTCAGAGAACACTATCACATCAAAATTATCCACCTGACCTACAAATCCTGATATATCTTTCTGACGAGCAAGTGCCAACTAGCACGAAACCTAAGTCAAGCAAGGCTTCCTGTGGCCAATTGCCTCAAGCAAGAATCCTATTGCGTAACAAATATTCCAGAGAAAATGGAGATGAATCGAACACACGCTGAGTAGGAAAGCATAGGGGAAAAGCCGAACGCCAGACCATTGATCGAGTGAAGCCCGTATAACAAACGGTGAGTAATGCGTAGATATGCGAGGATGAAATAAAGGAGATGAAGGAGTTATGGGTAGTCGAGGTCTGTCTGTCTGTTTTCGACACAGAACTTTGCACATATGTGCACCAGTTCAAGTCGCCACACTCCCTCCTTGTAACACTCAAAGCAAGAGAAGAAAGTAGAAGAAATGCATAATAGAGACAGTAAACAGACGTGTGAAACAAAGGAATAGTAATAACGAAGAACAATATAGTTTCATTGGAAATCATAAGTCACAAGGAGTGGATGTATCTGCGCTAGCCATTGAGAACGATTTTGAGCCATATCACCAATGGTCTCCAGCCGTCCCGAGGACCCCAACCAGTCAATCTGGTATTTTACACCTTCCTACGTGGTTTAAACTAACTGTTGTAGATTTCATTGACTGGTGAGGACATGTTTTGGTTTGACGGCCGATAGCCCTTTTCCAACCTGACCCTATATCAGCTAACATTGCCCATTGTCGAGGAAGGCGATGATTAGGCATACGTAACACATGTCCTAACCATCTCAGTCTTTATATCTTCACAACTTCGTCGATTGATTTCCCCTCCCTGCTTACCTAGAACTCGACGCCTAAGCTCAATATTTCTCACCCTATTACACTGACCATCTAACACGGGAGATAGAACGCAGGCACCTATGATCAAAGACAGTTAATTTTTCCATGTCTTCCACTCTCATTAGCCAGGTCTCACAGCTGACCATAAAGGAGGACGGAGCGGACTGATGGGTAGTAGAGGAGGAGGAGGGCTCATCTGAAGAAGACTGCTGAGATATCCTCTATTGAAGTCCTATGTTCTAATCGGAACTCAACGAATAATGATAATAATAATAATCATGACGTCATTGCCTAATAATATCAATTACTGAACTATTAAAACACGTTTTATTAAAAATAATTAAATACAAAAAATAACCAATCAATCAATAAATAAATAAATCAATTAACTAATTTATTCATCAGAATATAAGAAATAACCTAACTACTACTAATACTACACGTCAACTCCTAACTTTGTGATAGGGAGTGAAGTGATAGAACATGTTGACCACTTCAACTATTTGGGAAGTTGTATCAGCACCAACGGACTGATTGGCGATGAAATCTCAGCACGGATCCGAAAAGCTCGAGCTGCTTTCGCTGATTTACACCATCTCTGGCGTAGGCGTGACATCCGGTTTTCAACCAAGGGACGTATGTACTGCTCATCCGTTCGCTCCGTCCTTCTCTATGGCTCTGAAACATGGCCAATACGCGTTGAAGACATGAAAAGGTTGACTGCTTTCGATCATAGATGTCTGCGATCTCTTTCTCACGTTAGGTGGCTTAATAAGGTGAGTAATGTTGACGTTAGGCGTAGAGTGTTGGGCAAAGAGGGGAAATCAATCGACGAGGCTATAAAGTTACATAGACTAAGATGGCTAAGTCACGTGCTGCGCATGCCTAACCATCACCTCCTCCGACGGGCGTTACCAGCTGATATAGGTGCAGGTTGGAAAAGAACCAGTGGTGGACAAACAAAAACATGGCCTAATCAATCCATGAAATCCTTGACAGTTAAACTGAGTCGGTCAGGTAGGGAGATGCAGACTCCCGGGTTGGAGCCCTCGGGACTCTAGGAATCAATGGCTGGAGACCGTAGGTGACATGGCTCAAAATCGTTGTCAATGGCCAGCTCAGATGTATTCAGTCTCTGTAATCTTTCATATTCCTTTCTACCATAACTCACTCTGTTTCACTCTTATACTTGTCAAACTCTATTGGTTCTCTTCACTCATCTTCTTGTCTACCTTTGTGTGGTATTTGGAACGTGGCAACTGGAACTGGTGCACTTCGGTGCCAAGTTCTATGTTGAATCCCAAACAGACAGACAGACTTACAAAGAGTTGGAGGATTTCATCAATAAACATTGCCAGTGATGAAATGTGTTTATCACCAAAATTGTACTAATAAGTAAGAAAAAGAATTATACGTCTAACTAGACACTAGACAGACACTACACTGTGAAATTATCTCTATCATCATCATCATCATCATCATCAATCAATCAACCAATCAATCTCACATGAAAAGTACACAATTCAATTCTTTGAATAATACTTCATTATACTGATCTCTTTTTCCATCCTTTGTAAAGCAAAACTACCAACAATAGCAACAACGACAACAACAACAAAAAATACAGTAAACAACAAAAGACATTATTATTATTATCCATATAGGGATTATAATAATAATAATGATAATAATAGTAAGAATTACCTTTCGATGAATGTTTCTCCCAAATATTTCTGTCAAGATCTTGAATTTTACTCTTCCAATTATGTAATTGATAATGAATATCATCATCATTCAAGCATAAATTGTGTTGACTTGAAAAATGTCTGAATAAATAATTAGGATTAAAAAAAAAATCAGAAGTAAGGAAAATAAGGTGAAAAAAATAAACATTTATTTTCATTATTATTATTTAATTCAATTTTACATTTTCTCGCCCATCGATTGATTGGATCGAAGTGCTCGGTCTTAGGTTGACATGTCTGTCGGCTTCTTGTGCAGATGCTTCGACAATGTCTTGGCATGTAATTAGACGTCAGTAAACTGGGGATGATGGATGGATGGATGCGCATTGCGTCCTATTTGCGACCTGTTAGCTAATGGATGTACCTGCCTGCATTCCCTAGTTGGTGATGATGTTCCCACCAAGGCTCGAACCCAGTGCTCATAGTTTCAAACGCCAAAGCGTTATTTCACTAGACCACTTGGACCATGAATAGAACAGAACGAAATGCGCATCTTGGATTCCACTGCTAGTTACCATTCACCAATTGACTACTAATTTGTGATTATTATTATTAATTATTTCAAACACATATACACACAGAGAAATGAATGTAAACGACTGTCAATAGACGCATACTGTTTCTAGCCTTTATATGAATTCAGGAGCCTGGAGACAAGTCTTTCCTGTTCCAAGGGAAGGGGTTAAGGATAATATTATTCAATTGCATGAGTTGTAGTCGTGGATAGAGTAAGATTTGAGAGTCAGGGATTTACTCACACATCTACCCACTGGCTGCAAAAGATGACCACTTAAACCAATGGGATATGTTTCCACAACATGTATCCTCTCTCTCCCCCTATATATATATATATATATATATATATATAATCTCTGCAAACTAAACACTATTTAAATAACAAACACCTGGATGCATTATACATCTAGGTAGCAATAATTCAGAATGAACAATTAAAGCACGCGATTAATTATTTCACATTTTACATTATTGTGCATAATTATCAATTGATTTATAGAATAATAACACCCAACATGGTGTTAGAGGAATACTTCTTGCTTAGGTGCTTGAAAAATCAATGTCGACGATTATACATACTTAAATAAAATAACTTAAAATTGATTTGCTTTCCTGCCCTGGCTCTATCTGTCTGTCTGTCTCTCTCTCTCTCTATCTCTCTGAGACTTTATAAGAATACTCAGGTGAATTTTCACCTCAGTTAACTAATACCAATGATAAACATAAGAAATAATTTCACAATGAAATGTGAGATTGATTAAGCAGTACGGCATTAAACAACTACTGTCGTCAAATAAGAAACTGTTCAGTCATTTTGTAGGCACATTCGAAGAGCATACTTCCTTTGGAGTTGATTGACTGATTGGAACTCAATTGCTTGAAACGGATTCTGCGTGTATTCACGGGCTAAGAGTTAAACACACGCGTATTGTGTAGGGACTAATGATACTAACTAGTTGGTCAAACTGAAGTAGGTGAAGAAGGAAGGGGGGGGGGAAGAAGAACGCGGGGACCGACTGACTTAAAACCATCAAGTGGTTCAGTCAATCAGTCATATCTCAACTTTCTTAAGAAGTGAATCCTGACATTTTCTACTAAAATAATAATAATAATAGCAAAAGGCTTTACAATCGAAATAATGTAATCACTTGCTGATATTGTGGCTTGAATTCAGTTGTTAGCCAGAATATGTCTCTCATGTCTTACAAATTTGACAATGAGCCCAAAGACCTATAGTATAACAGGCTAGTAATACTACCTAACTAGTCAAACCTCCACAGGTGGGACACGGTTCAAACCGATAACCAAGTGTGCACAGACTACTGAGCCAAACAGCTCAACAAGGCAGATGTAACTATCAGATGGTTGGAGGCAGTCGGCCATAGGAAGCCTTGCCTGACCTAGGCTTCGTGTTAGTTGGCACTCATTAGTAAGTCAGCAAGGCATATCTGCAATCACCTTAAAGGAACTCATGTCCCTTCTGAGATTCGAACCCACGTCACCCAGTTCCGGTTGCAGTCAGAGACGTTTAACACAACTGAGCTATTCGGGCTCACGATTGACCTCCTATAGGACTGTAGTGGGTATTTTGATTGGACACTAGTAACTAGCGTGATGTGTCTAGTCCTAGAACGAAACTTAGGTCCAAGGCTTCCTGTGGCCGATTGCCTCCAACTATTTAATATATCATCAAATCAATATACACCGTGATGGCGAGCTACTTAGTGGAATGGTAGCCACATTGCAAAACCTGACTGACTGATATAATTTAGTCTGCACCAAAGACAGGATCAGATACATCAGACAGGTTACTAATATCAAATCAAAAAAGATGTAACTATCTAACAAAACTCCCCCCAAACCAACCCAAGTCAAAGTAGGTGGAGGGTCACTTGAATCCAGGATTATTCATTAACTGGTTGAAAATCAACCACACCAATGGAAACATGTACCCACCAACACCACCGCCACCACTAGCTGAGTTTTATTACTTAACAAACAAACAAACAAAACAACAAAAGTAATTCAAGTGTTCGATTGTAGGGATTTCATTGGTTTCAGGACCAGTAGGGTGCAGCGGGTCGGGTGTGAGGACAAATACTCGTCGAAGACATTGGCTAGCGGTTGAGCTATGTTGTGAATTGGCAGAAGTTAGAATTCAAGGACCATTGGATCGGGTCCCTGTGGCTTAATGGTATACGAGCTCGCCTTGTAACCGGAAGGTCCTGGGTTCGAATCCTGGTGGGTGCGTACTGATGAAGAGTCCCAAACTAGGACGAAACAGCTGCCCAGTACTCCCAGGTTTTCCAATGGTTCTCCAACTAATGTCAGCTCATGATGAAATCCTGAAACAAAAGTAATTATTTTTACGAGTTGATCACGGATTGATATCAGTTAAAGAACCATTAAAAATCAGCAGAGAGTACTGGACAGCTGTTTCATCCTAGTTTGGAGTTCTAGTGAGAAGTCGTGACCAGTGAGGTCCATCCAGATGTCACGTGTGAGGATGGATATCGCCACTACGACAGTGCGTGGGGTCGCGCTAAACCATGAATTGGTAGAAGTTAGAATTCATGCACCGGAAATTGAATCACGTCTCAGTGGCTGAATGGTATACGAGCCAGCCTGCCTTGTAACCGGAAGGTCCTGGGTTCAAACCCCATTAATGGGTGCGTACTGCAAATGATTCCCAAATTAGGATGTAACAGCTGTTCAGTACTCCAGTATTCCCTGGCTTTCAATGGCTCTCTAACTGATATTAATCCGTGATCAACTCGTAAAAACAAAACTAACCCTTACAAATCAAACTATAAATTTTCAATAAAGCAAGAACAACAGTGTGGTTTTGTGCAGAATAATATGGTACCATCATTGCTTATTTCCTTGGCTTCTCATAAGATGCTTGCAGCCTAAATAAATTATGACGTTTACGTACAGAAAAGTTTTAACATACTTGCAAATTTTACATGTTGTTGTCAGTTGACAGAAAGTTTCACAATTAGTGAACAGTGCTCAGAAAATTACTCTTATAGTGTTTTTACACAGGCAGTTCAAGTTTAAACAAAAAATAAATCTATGCATACGGTGGTAAAGGAGTTACCTAATAAAGACGAGGCATGTGTTAGATGCAGAGTGACTAATAAATTAGGTAACAGTGTACGGAGTTCATCTAAAATCATTGAAACAAGAGACAAGATTATAAAAGTGGGTGAGGTTAAAGACACGGATTACGTAATTGGATGAGAGAATAAAGACATCCAGTTACCAGGATGGCCAAAGAAAGACTAATAACTGCTTCTTTCTGAACACATAAATCTGGTTTTAAGCATTTGATAGAAATTGCTTCGGCAAACTTGAGGAGGAGGAGAATGGAACTCCCTTTGTCTATTGATTTCTCGATTTACACCTCACGACTCGTATCGGGATTGCCTAATTTATTAGTCACTCTGCATTTAACGCATGCCTCGTCTTTATTACGTAACTCCTTTACCACCGTATGTAAACATTTATTTTTTGTTTAAACTTGAACTGCTTGTGTAAAAACTATATAAACGCAATTTTCTGAGCACTGTTTACTAATAGTAGCACTTTCTGTCAATTGACAACAAGTTGTAAGCAGTTAATGAGAAACCAACGAAATAAGCAATGATGGTACCATATTATTCTCCACAAACCACACTGTTGTTCATGCTTTGTTCAAATTAATCAAAGGGGAATAAATACACAAACTATAAAAGCGATTATCTTACCTTTCATAGTGTAATACTTGTCCTTTTCTATTGACAATCATGATAATCACATCAATTAGGTGTTCATGGTGATTCCAGTTCTCTTGTCCTTTTTTATTATTATTATTAATCTCAGGTAAAATAACATCTTTTGGTAAATTAAGATAATAACCACCATTAGATTTTGTACATAATTGTGGAAAATCAATAAAAAGTGAAAAATCAGTTGGCTTTTTATTATTATATTCTATCACTGAATTATGCTGTTTACTTTCAATTAATGCAGCTGATGGTGTTGAAATCGATAATGATGACGACGAAGTAGAACTGTCACTAGTACTCACGGATGATGATGATGACGACGACGACGATGTCGATGTTGATGATGAATTATGTGGCTGAGGAGATATCTGATACAATGGAGAAGGCTATAAAACAGCAACAACAACAAAAGAGATAACATGATAAACAATATAATTTATGATTACAAATGAAACACTATATATATATATATATATATATATATATATATATATATCCTTCACGTTCCCCAGTGGAACATAGGGCTTCAAGCTAGTGGCTTGAAGTTTCTGTAGCAGTGTTTATTTTACAGGATGCGGTTGCTAGCCTCATGCCCAACCTTTCCTCTTTACTAGCATTTTCCTGGTTTAGCGAGGTAAAGGAGTGTGTCTGTGGCCGGGGGTCGAACCCCGGACCATGCGTATGGTCGGCGAGCGTCCTAACCGCTATGCCACCGACGCATGCTCGACAATAAGGCATAATAATAACACTCTAATTTATGTGTGAAACTTGGCCACTGTGGTAGTCAGTAATTCAATATTAGTTTGTTTATTAGATGTATCACACAGTCAGTGTGAAACAGTATTATTACATACTGGATGACAAAGTTTCGAACACAGTTTATTGCTGTTCATAATCATTTCACCAATTATAATCATACGACTTCGAAACTTGAGTTTTATAGTTGTTTTCTTTGTTCCCTCCTATTTGTTGTCGTAGGGGTAGTAGAATTTTCCAGATATCCAACTGGACAGGTGCTGAATCATCCCTATTAAACGTATTTTCATTCACTTGATTCGATAAACAAAGCTTCTGTTGTTGTTATCAATCTCTCCCTCCACCTAGCTGTGACATTAGATTTTAAAACTGTCATTTTATCCCATCATCCCATTGTATGGTTGTGTGGGCGTAATTGCATGTAGTGATTGGTACAGCTGAATTACTCTCTGGATTTCTTATCTTATTTGGGTCTACTAATCCAGGTTTCGCTAGGTTTTTATGTTCGGCTAGTCTGACTGCCCCTGTTCTACTACTCTGACCTATGTATTTCACCTGACAATAATCGAAATCGGGGTATTAGGTAAACTAAATTATATTGTTTTAAAAGGCTCCAAAAGATTGATCCTTTAACCGACAAAGGTTGTTTCTAATTGAGTTTATGGATGGTTTGAATGCTAGACACTTTTATTCCTGCCTGCCTAGTTAAAAATTCTACGTAAGGTTTTCGAGGTTACTTCTTTGTATGGAAGTATTACTGATGATTTAGATTCCTTATTGTTGGTGTTGTCTTGCGCATGTTTGACATGCATATCGTAACAGGGTGGAAGGAGGAATTGATAACAGAAGCTCTATTTGTCAAATCAACTGCGAGCACATGTAATAGGAATGATTCAACACCTGTCCAGTTGGATATCTGAAAGATTCTACTAACCCAACGACGATACATAGGAGAGAACAAAGAAAACAACTATAAAACTCAAGTTTCGAAGTCGTATGATTATAATTGGTGAAATGATTATGAACAGCAATAAACTGTGTTCGAAACTTTTTCATCCAGTATGTAATAATACTGTTTCACACTGACTGTGTGATACATCTAATAAACAAACTAATATTGAATTACTGACTACCACAGTGGCCAAGTTTTACGCATATACTAATATTATACAAACTCATAATGGGAGATAGAATTCAAACTTCTAATGACAGAATATTAAATAGCTAGCCACTTTCCCAACCAAGGGACGTATGTACTGCTCATCCGTTCGCTCCGTCCTTCTCTATGGCTCTGAAACATGGCCAATACGCGTTGAAGACATGAAAAGGTTGACTGCTTTCGATCATAGATGTCTGCGATCTCTTTCTCACGTTAGGTGGCTTAATAAGGTGAGTAATGTTGACGTTAGGCGTAGAGTGTTGGGCAAAGAGGGGAAATCAATCGACGAGGCTATAAAGTTACATAGACTAAGATGGCTAAGTCACGTGCTGCGCATGCCTAACCATCACCTCCCCCGACGGGCGTTACTAGCTGATATAGGTTCAGGTTGGAAAAGAACCAGTGGTGGACAAACAAAAACATGGCCTAATCAATCCATGAAATCCTTGACAGTTAAACTGAGTCGGTCAGGTAGGGAGATGCAGACTCCCGGGTTGGAGCCCTCGGGACTCTAGGAATCAATGGCTGGAGACAATAGGTGACATGGCTCAAAATCGCTGTCAGTGGCCAGCTCAGATGTATTCGGTCTCTGTAATCTTTCATATTCCTTTCTACCATAACTCACTCTGTTTCACTCTTATACTTGTCAAACTCTATTGGTTCTCTTCACTCATCTTCTTGTCTACCTTTGTGTGGTATTTGGAACGTGGCAACTGGAACTGGTGCACTTCGGTGCCAAGTTCTATGTTGAATCCAGACAGACGGATTCTCTCCCTTCAAGAGTTCCATAAGTCAAAATAAGCATGTCTCCTCTCATAGTTGTAAAGACGGTTAATTTTTCCCATGCTTAAGTAATTATATATATATATATATATATTATTACTTAAGCATGTAAGAAAGAACCTTCAAATTTAATTTTCAGTTCATTTTTGTTAATATATACATAACATACTTATTATATTTATGGGTGGATAAATGCAATTTCACTTTTTTCAATAATATGAATAAAAATAGGAGACATTTATACTGTTAATGAAAAGGATAAGTGGAAACTACACCCTTATTATATACTATTTTATGATATAAATACACTTGAATAACTGTTTTATATTCGATTGTAATTATGCTTTCATTAAACTATTATTAATAATTACTAGGTAGATAATATTTAGTTAGTTAGCTAGTTAGTCAAAGACAGCTCAATAATTACAACATGCCTTTAAATGTATACACAGGTACACATGTGTATATACGCACTACTCGTTAAAATAAAATGAAGGAACGCTTTAAGGTTGTTATTCTCAAAGGTTGCACTTCAAAATTGAACATCCTTAAAAAAAGGTGATATTGTAACGGATAAGGGTAGGCATATTGATCATCGAAGATTAGTTAATCATGAGCCAAACACACGCACGCACGCAAACTACCCAGTTGCCTACGCTCACAAATAGTAGGTGAAGCGGGATTCAAACCAGGGACCACCTATTGGATGTGATCTATCTTCTATATTAAGTAGTATAATAACAGTCTGATTGTGATAGCTGCTACCTTGGACATGGTAGTCGCCGGGCTTCTATACTGCAATGACCTAACCAGTGTAGCTTGGTTGGAACTAATGTTCCTCCTGTGTAGGTCCTACCATGCCAGGAAGATTGTTAGGATAGTGATTAGACTAAAAGCAGTTACCGGTGTATAGTGTAAGGTTTTTTGTTGTTACACTATGGCTGGGGGTCTGTGGGTTATGTCCTACTGCTAGGGAACAGGGATGTAAACAGTAGTAAGGCGTATTTCACGGATGACCAGCATGCCGACTATGCGGCTTCTCTGCTCTGGAGACGGAGAGGGGGGGTTAGAAATGGTCGATCCCATAAATTGTACACCTGGAATTATTTTATGGTGGTCCGTAGGCAGTGGTAAGTTATGAATACGGAACCAAACCTAAAAGCCAGTTTGTCAGTTAGACCATGTGTGACCTGCCCTCAAGCAGTTATCCCTTGAGCTCTGTGGTCACAAAACGCTAATTCTCTTTTTGTTTCAGGTAAAAAAATCAACGGCTACAGTATACGGGCAGCTTGGAAGTAACAACCGACCTCATACACTTGGAAAAGCACACGAAGTCAAGTATATAATAGGGTGAGTCATACTGAGGTTAGGCTTCGGTCGAATGTTAGATAAAGAAGGAAGGAAGGAAGGTCAATTGATGAAGTTGTGAAGCTTCATCGATTAAGGTGGTTAGGACGCGTGTTTCGCACGCCAAAGCCATTGTCTTCCTCGACGAGCAATCTTAGCCGGAATAGAATGGGGCTGAAAAAGAGCTACTGGTGCTGGTCAAACGAAAACTTGGAGTCAGTCCATCAAACATTTGACAATCAGTTTGAGCTAGCCACGTAGGGGGAGGTGTAGACTGGTTGGCATCCTGGTTGAGCTCCTCGGGATGTTAAGAACCAGTGGCTGGAGATAATTAGTGATATGACTAAAAATCGTTCTCAATGGCCAGCACAGATACATTCACTATTTTTAATTTTTCACATCAATTAAATTCTACAATCTTTTCATAATCTTGTGAATCGTGGATGAACAACTCGTTGAACCCTTCACAATAGATCAATGTTGTTATGTTAAATTATGCATTAAAAAGTATTATCAACTGAGTGACTGACTGGCTGAGTGTCAAAATAGGACTTTGCACAGAAGTGCACCAGCAGTTCAATTCACCATACTCTATGTAGCTCATAAAGGTAAAAAAATAGGAGAGGAATTATAATATATAGGCAGAAATGTACAGGAGAAAGAATAAATACATGCAGGATAAATTGTAACAAAAAGACGGTTTGAAAAATCCCTCCTGGACTATCATCATCTAATCACAACATTTATGCATATTTGGATGTTTCAACTAACACTTTGTAACTTATTATTACTATTGTTATTTCTTTTACTTCCTCGAGAAACAGAGGGCTTCAGCCGAGCGTCTCCATTGCGTTCGGTTCTCCCCCAACGTCTTCACTTGGCTCCACGTCTGCTCACATGCCTTGATCTCCTCTTGCCATGACCTCCTCCATGCCACCCTCGCACTGACGACCACCTAACTCGCCGCTTCCCATTCGGGTTCCACTCGAGTGATGGCCTGCATAGTAGGTAATGTCACTTGATGGTTTCTTTTCAGAGTATGGCCAGCCAATCCAGCTCCATTTCTTCCTGTATATTTCTTGCACAATTGGTTCCTGGTTGGCTCGTTCCCAGAGATCCATGTTGCTGATCTTTTCTGAACATCTGATCTTGAATAGTTTGTAGCGAAGACAGCTGTTGAAGTAGGTCTGTAGTTTGTTCGAAGTGCCCATCGTGATGCGGCGCCAAGTCTCTGATCCATAAAGTAAGTAGCACTGACTTCTGACTGGAGTTGAAAATCGTGATCTTATTTTTCATGCTGAGTGCTGTTGATCCCCACACAGACTTGGGAGTAATAAATGCTTGCCTTGCTTTCCCGATCCTCGCTTTAATGATATCCTCATCAGTTCCGTCCGCCTGTAGTTGTAGCGATGATTCCCAGGTAGGTATGTAAAGGAGATTGCTTCTTTCAGATTTCTTACTTAGTAAATACTATCCACTTTTCTTCTAGACTGTATATCCCTGTCCTGAAATTTGCATACCATCACATGTTGAGTTCATCCTTATTATTTGTCTTTGCCCCCCCCTATCCCCTGATTTTTGATCTCTAATTTTAATGCTTGTTTTTTGGTTATGTGATGGTATTGGTAATATGTCCCTTTTATGATGACATTTGGTTTGAGTGAATAAAAGTCATTCTGACCTTGGACTGTCCTGCAGGGAAGCGTTGGTGTGTGTGTGTGTCTGCCTAACAGCACCACTGAGGTAATTTTGAATCACTGATGTTATCACTGTTGAACAGAACTACAGATTTATCAGAGAACAGTCATCTCTTTGTTGTCTTTGGAGGATTTTGTGACTTTGCATCTCTCAAGGAAGTCTTATCAGCTATACACCAGAAGGCAATGATCAGTTCCATGTGTTCACACTACAACGAATCGGTTTTGGTCAGTACAAACAATAACGACAACACTTAACGGATCTATTAGATCACAAAGAGTGAATACATTCGCGCCCCTGAGATATGCAAACTGATAAACAATGGATTATCCTTTTATGGTGGTGATATGGTGATCAATGTCATTCTCAAAATAGGCTATAAATAGTTTTAAATATCCTTTAATATTCAAGTGTTAGTTTGCAGGGAATTTGATTTCATTGATTTCAGGATTTCATCATAAACTGACATCATCGGTTAGAGGACCCTATTGAAAAACCAGAAGTGGAGTACTGGAACAGATATTTCGTCCTAGTTTGGGACTCTTCATCAATTCGCACCCACCGCATGAGGTTCGAACCAAGGACCTTCTGGTTATAAGGCGAAACTCAGTGGGTGCGTACCGATGAAGAGTCCCACACTAAGCTGACGTATCAGCTGTCTAGAACTCCCTGGCGGTTTTTCAATGGTCCTTCAACCAATTTCAGTTCATGATGAAAACTTGATATCTTTTACTAGTTGTCTTCCCTCACTTATACGCATATATATATACATTTGTTGTTATAAATATACTGATTAGGGTACTGCCAAATATACTTTGTTATCTCGCATCATTGCGCGTTATCGCTTAAGTAGCAGGAAGTAGGAGATCAGGTGCCTATTGTATACGATTATGAAGTAGCCTGCTGATATTTGTCCTGATCACCAGAGTCTGCGTGTCTGTGTTCAGCATCCCTATTCAATTCAGCGTATTGCAAAGATAAGAGCGGTGACATCGTTTATCACTAACAGTCACCGAAAACCACTTTGAATTATATCATTAACACTCTCCAGTTATAGGTTGTTCTCGTTTCAATGAGCATAAACCAAACGACCTACAACATCTCTCCACCCCCCCCCTCCTAAATGACTAGCTCAAACTAACACAGTCAAAGACGACTTCATCGAAGTAGTGATAACAGGTTAAAAGATCGGAAAATCTTCATATATCACTAAATACATCTCATAATACATTTGGATAGAAGTAGTGATAACCAGACAATTCTAGATAGTATACTATCTGTTGTCATTGAATTCAACTAATAAATGACTACAACGCTTAAACATAAATTCCCCTTCAGGGAATATTTATTGTCATTATTATTATTATTATAAGAGGAGATCCTTTTGCTTTGTACACAGTCTTTATAATTCGATAATTTTCAATCCAAAAATCTATACTCCTTTACATTCTGATTTATGATAACAATTGGTTTTAAGAAATAATTCAGTTATTAAAAGAATATTTAACAATATTTGATAAGGTGTATGCGTATATGTATATTGTAAAATACATTAATTTGGCTCCACTTTATATCTATACAAAAATAATAATAATAATGATAAACAAGTCTCTAGGATAGAACGTGCATGGGTAATAATATCACTAAATGAACTTCTATAAACTGATAAATAAGTGTACAGAATACAATTGAAGTGAATATATACAAAACGGATATATATATATATATATATATATATATATATATATATATATACGTATTATAAAAACACGTATACTTACTATATTTCCTTCTCTGCCTGAGTCTGCGACAATTGACTGAGGAGGTGAACTAACAGTAACCTCTTCTTTTATAAAACCTTCATTATTTTTCGATAAATCTGTGAAACACCGTAAAAAGCAATATATATATATATAACGAAAGATAAATATATTAACTTTTCAAGTACTGATTTTTTTGTAGGGATTTTGTGTTTAATTGCATAGAGGATTTCATCATTATGAGGTGACATCAGTTAGAGAACCATTGGTAAACCAGCCACAGGGAGCATTACCGGACAGTTGTTTTGTCAGCCTAGTTTGGGACTTTGTCAGCTGATATCACCTCATGATGAAATCCTCCTCCTACAAAACTAATACTTGAAAATTAATCTGATGCTCACTAGCGACTGGCCCTATTCAGGCTGTGACCAGTAGGGTACAGCAGGTTGAAGGTGAGGCAGTCAGTCACTCATGGAAGAAGATATTTCGAAGTGGTCACGCTATATCGTGAACTATCTATATCATCAAATCAATGTGCAGCGTTATGGTGAAGACTGAATTCTATCACACAGTCAAGTTTTCAATGGAACCACCAATAAGCTAGGTAGCTGCTGATCGCCATCCCAGCACACCTTGAATTGTTGTTATCAGATGGTTGGAGGTAATCGGCAAGAAGCCCTACCTGACCAACCTAGCTTTTATGTCTGTTAACACTCGTCAGTCAGTAAGGCATATCTGCAATCTTGACGCATGACACTAGCACCCTATCAAAGTATCGAATACATTCCCTATAGGGGATCAACTGTGAGCGCAAATGGGCATGGTAATGTTTCAGACTGCAGCACTGGGTGACGCGGGAGTGAAACCCACAGAAGACATGAATTCCTTCAAGATTGTAGATATGTCTTGCTGACTGTGTGAATGCCAAGGAGCACGAAAAACCTAGGCCAGACAGGGCTTTACACCGATTGCTTCCAACCAACTGATAGTAACCCTATTATACATCGAATTCCTCTTGTGTATTCATTAGTAACTCGTTACGTCTGTCACTATCTCCTTTTGGGAAGGTTATATATATATATATATATATATATATATATATATATATATATATATATAAATGCGATTGTACCGATAAAGAAAATGAATTAGCCAACAAGAGACTCTTCACTGAACTACTACTTAATTTGTCCTGTTTTTGAAAAATCGATGAGTTTCAGAAAATCGATACCTACATATATAATTAAATCAGGGATATTGCTACTATTATTGTTCCCTTGGCTTTCGAGTGGAAAATAGAACTTTCTGCCGTCTGCTTTATCTGGGCCCATAATTTACCACAATCTTTCATCTCCTCCTCCTCATCACCACCACCACACGATCTCTTCCATATCACCCTCACACGGACGACCCATTCGTCGTTTCCCACTCAAGAGATGGCCCGCACTGAGTGCGATGTCATTCGACGGTCTCCTCAACCAATTCCCAATCCATCCATCTCCATTTTCTTCTACATATTTCTTGAGCGATAAGTTCTTGGTCAGTTTATTCGCCATTAATTTCTTGTCATTAATCCTCTCTTTCTAGCCGGCCATTCAATCTTTTAGTATGCAGCCAGAGAAGGCAGCTACAGTAGGCTGTTAGAAATGCATTTTTATGAAGGGGGAAGGGGGGCACTAAGTTTCTGACCCAAATATAGAATAACTCACTTAATATCTGGAATATACTAAGAATTATTAATACACTCAACTGATACAAAAGTACTACACGAAAAAGAAAAAAGTAGAAGATATGCATACCTTTTAAATCTGATGAATAGTATTCATTACATGTACCGGTAACTGGTGATGAAGGCAACTGATAAACTGGACTGGTTTTAAAATACGGTGATAGATGATTATCAATAGTATTATTATTAGTAGTAGTAGGTGTAGTATTCACAGGAGATAAATGACTCTTTGCTGAGACAAGATTATATCCTTCTCTGTGTGCATAACAACTAGGAACAGACGATGGTCGAGTGCAATGAGATTGTGAAACAGCAATAGTAGCCATTTTTCCAGGGGAAAGATATAAATTCGCTGAAACAGATGATGGGTATACATTCACATTTGTACTATGCTGATGAGGTTCACTAGGCGTGATCATAATTATCGAGTTAGAAAGCGTAACACAATCCACTCGGTCTTTTTTAATACCAGAATCAATGGTTTCAGGATAGTGTACATATCTAATAAAATAAAATATAAAAAATAGAGGAGATGAAAGGAAAGATACCAATGAATTATTACACCAATAGCAGTAAAAATATCACATAAGAATGATAACAGTGAAGTAACAATACTATAATCTTAAAAGAAATCGAAATCAAAGGCACATCATGTTGACTTGTCTAATTTTCCTTTGAACAATATTTCAATAAAAAAAAAGTTCTACAAAATTCAGCGCTGCTATCCATGACACACAAAAAGTGATGATAAAACGCATTGATGAAGAAAGAAAAACAGAATGGATGAAAGTTCCAATTGACTAACCCTCTCTCTCTCTTCCTCACTTAGAAAGCAAGCTGTTGTGTGTGTGTGTGTGTTGTCATTGATTAAAACACAAACTTGGTGCATAATGGACATCAAGAGATGAGGCGTACAAAATCTCCTAGTTTGTGCAAAGGTTACGCTACCGCCCGGAAGCCAAGATCAAAGCAAGTCGGTATCTTAATAAGCCACAACCCGAGCCTCTGACTTGAATTCTGACCTATAGGACAGTGGAGCAGCGTTCCTACGGTTTCCAGTGACCAAAATAGTTTCAATACACCACTCCACCGGTTTAGATTCCGGAGCTCATGCACATCATAAGTTCGGAGTTAGGGTTCTCCAGCTCCCCTAAGTAAACCCAAGCACTCGTATTTGTCCTTTCACTTACGTGAGGGAGGACTCCCACGCACCACGTTGAGACAGCGAACACTTACCCGGCAGTAACTACGAACCCACGGCCATATGAGGGCATTTTGAAAGGAAGACCGAAGTCTACTCACCCTCAGTAGTACCTTCTGAGTTCATTAGGATATAATCAGATGCCGAAATAGATCATGAAATCAATAAGATCGCATGAATTTTTAAGTCTGTTTCAAATATACAGAAGAGATAACTTAAGAGAAAGAACCCATGCTTAGGGGATTGAAAAATATTCAACTTTTCAAACACAAAAGGTAGATATATTTACTTCGTTATCACTTAATTTTCGTTGTTACTCACAACATTTTAATTACATTACACAGGTAAACTAAACCCTTCTACAAGGCTCAAACCAACAGTTATTGGATTACCGCAATATCTTTTAATCGATAAACAATAACTTCCCTCCAGTATATTAATATCACATCCATAAAAAGAAGGCTATTTTGAAAAATTTAGAGTCATCTGAGTCAATGATGACTGACTTCATCTACTTAAATGTCTTCTTTACAAACCTCAATATTTAATCTTAACATTGCCCTAGTTGTTATGATTACTAACAGTTGCATGAATACTGATCGTTGACAATAAAAGATCGATAAGTTAATCGATTTTCATTGACCTCATGTAATAATGAAGACCATTCAATGTAATTAGCTAAAATGTATATTCCAACCACAAAGACAATAAAGTATGGGAACAGACTAGCAAGTATACCGAATCAGCTCAAATCAGCGAGTGTTTAGACCAGGAAATTAATTTACTACATGTTACACAACGATTACTTATAGTTGACACCAATTTCGAGGCTTGCTTCTAATCACATTTAATAACATTACAGTTCCACCACATGCGACGGCTCACCAAGTGAGCTTCAACACAGAACTCTGCATAGAAGTGCACCAGTTCACCTTGCCACACTCTAATCAGCAAACAAAAGTGGAAAGGGAATCAAAATAACAACTAAAATGAGCAGAAGGATAAGGAAGAAAGAAGATTAACACAGAAAAACATGAGAATTGAATGGATCTGGAAGATTATTCAGGAAGAATGTAAATGTTCCCCATTTTACTTGGATCCCACTTCTGGTAAGAAATAATAAGCACACAGAGTCTCATTTTAAAAAAAATACCACAGAATTTAAACTCATCATTGACAGCTATCCTGGAGAAACAATCAAGGCATGGTTAAAATTTTATTTCCAAAACAGTAATCGTAGATGAACCCCACATGGTCATTGCACAGAAACCGATTCACTTATATAAATTAGATCTTATGCCTTTTACCATTTGAGAAACACGACATTGGCTTACGTTTTCAAAGCTACCGACAACGAAGTTGTATTTTCATACCTTTAAAATGTATCCAAAACCTTTTTACTAGAAACGGCAATCGTTGGATTCGTAAGTAGTAGTGAAACAATTTCATTTTCTCAGATGTTTTGAATTACAAAACCAATTTCGTGATCATAATCGCGTCTAAATCAAACACAAGTTGAGTAGGATGCTTTATGATTGATTGTTACCCGGAGTTCATTTCGAAATTCCACTTTATCTGATGATGGATCGTTAGCTGTCCACCAAATATGAAAGTATTGATGCTAGTCAACCAAAATGTTTCTCGAATGCTGCATTCAGCGCTTTAATTATACTGAAAATTCGCTTTTACGGACACTAAACCGTCCACTACTTATGGCTCTATAGTGATGGATTTCCTGGTACTTACAAGTTTTAGTCTGCATCACAAATACAAGTTGTGAATAGCACGTCTGCTGTACGCTAGGAATGCAAAAGGGCTTTGCTACCCAGTATACATACTTTCTATATATTGTCTGTCTGTTTTCGACATAGAACTTTGCACATATGTGCACCAGTTCAAGTCGCCACACTCCCTTCTTGTGACACACAAAGCAAGAGAAGAAAGTACCAGAAATGCATAATACAGACAGTAAGCAGAGGTGTGAGACAAAGGAATAGTAGTAACGAAGAACAAAACAGTTTCATTGGAAATCATAAGTCACAAGGAGTAGATCCATCTGCGCCACTGAGTATTGGCCTATAAATTACAACTGATACGAGTGTTTACTATACCGTTTGGTTGCTTAGACGGAATAAGATTTGAACATGAAACATCTGTTCGCAGTTGAATGCTTAATAACACCAAGAGATTAAAACCAGTGACCCAACTACCAACCAGAAGTATGCACGAACACACCAAGTAATAATGGGACCAAATAAGAAGAATAAGAAAATTGAAATGAGTCGATTGGTGAGGTTTTAAATTTCTACCGACTCAGGTGACTAAAAAATGTATTTTGCATACCAAACCACGACATTTCTCGTGGAACAAGTTCAGCCTAAAAAGAATTAGGTTTGAAAAGACGTGGAATAGTATATGTACAAACGCAAGTTATTAACGGATATCATTCCCCCTTTTCTTTATCTCATTTTTATTTTTTTTTTGTTATTTTTGATTACAGCTTGATTCCACACTGTATTTTTGGTACAATTATGGAATTTTCAGCATGGTAGCCCAATTTTTTAGGCCAACCATAGATACCAGGTGTGCGTCGGCAGGGGTTCGAACCTCGGACCATGTGCATGGTCGGCGAGAGTCCTAACCACTGTGCCACGGGCGCACTCATATTGTAGTGCTATTACTTATTTATTTATTTTTGGATTACAGCTTGATTCCACACCATATATTTTGGTACAGGTATGAAATTTTCAGCATGTGATATCGGTAGCCCAAATTTTGCAGGCCGACCATAGATATCAGGTTTGCATCGGCAGGAGATCGAACCTCGGACCATATACATGGTCGGTGAGAGTCCTGATCACTGTGCCACCGAGGCACAATAATGAACCTATCCTCGAGGTAATGCAATACGAGGCCGACCCGTGGACAGGGTTGAGCAAGCTCACAGCACCCGTCCGTAAGAGAAAAATACAGGTAATTTCATTGGTCTCAGTTTAGAGACCGTTGTAGCAATTACACTGCAAAGAACAGAGCTAATAATAATAATGATAAAAGGTAGAATAATAAGTAAAACGAGTTACCATGGTAGGTTCAGAGTGACGGCCATCTCCTTTTGTACACAGATACCTGGTGGTTTATAAACTGGAGAGTCTTGTGCAATTCGAGTTTATAAACCAGGTGTCCATGAACAAAAGGAGACCGTCGTCACTCTGAATCTACCATGATAATACGTTTTACTTATTATTCTACCTCTTATTATCATTATTATTCTTGATTCATTAAAAACTATCCTTTATCGGTAGGATTATCTTAACTCACTTCAACACTATTATTATTATTATTATGATTATGATTATTATTAGTGTTATTATAACTATTACTGTTGATATTACTCTATTTGCAATTCTTGATATATTCTCTAATGTCCAATTGTTTATCTAAGTGATGTAATTGAAGCGTAATGCAATTTATCTTAATTTTGATCTCTCATACTCTACTCTCTCTCTCCTTATCTATTTGAACATGACCTGTAAAACATTCGCATCTGCCTTTCTGCATGACTAAATCAATGTAATCTGTTTACTTATCAGTCTTATATCTCCCAATGTAATTTCAAAAGTCTACATATATTCGGGTATGTAGAGTATTCAGCAGCTGAAGAGTTCTACCGAAATTTGATGAATCCATCATTAAATCCTGTGCTTTATTGCCCAACATTTGTTGCTTGTTTTAGATAAGGATCTAATTGAAAAGTCAGTGAGATCTATTTCTTCATTTCAGTCCTTATGTCATCACTCCTCCTCCTCCTCACCGTCATCATTACCATCACAATCATCTCATACACACGACAAACACACAAAAATCAAAAATTGGTCTTTATTATTAACAAAAATCAACTTACTTTTCTATACTGATTTGTCTGGAGGTATATTTCTATGCTATGGTGATGCTTCAAGCAGTGATCTGTAGACTATACCTCATCTATCAAAGGCACAAGAGTCAAATAAGGTTTCTTACTCACATTTAACTTCTGACGTAATAAAAGTGACAATAAACGTTGCAACAAATGAACTTATTTAGGGATGTTTTTCAGCCCAGTTGGTAAAAACACAGACTAGCGAAATTTCTACATGTAAACACATCAATGTCTCTGGCATGATTAAAAAGAGGTTTAGTATATGCTAACGATTTAGCAATTTAGACGATAGAGAATGGCAATTTCTGATAACTAGGAAGGATGTTAAGAAAATCACACTTGGAATACCCTAAATGATAAGTTGTAGAAAGATGATATGCCCTTGTCTGTCTGTCTGGATTCAACATAGAACTTGGCACCGAAGTGCAGCAGTTCGAGTTACCACGTTCCCATGTTGCCCTTGTACAGACATTGTATAGTACCCCACGGTACTTTTAACAAACATCTAGCTGTCAGTCATTAACCGCTAAGAAGCTCAGACATACCAGTGCTCAGTCCTATAGATTAAATGAGTATTACTATTAGGAGGACCGAAAAATACAATTTGAGAATGAAAAGTATATCAAGGCAATTGGTAAGCAGACAGAGAGTTGTCCGAAGAGATATCAGTTGTAATGAATTATGACAAGCCGATAATCAGATAAGCTGTTAGTAACACTTAACATATTTTCTTTCAAAAATTATTCTGAAAGTTAGTAGTATAGTCACCCGATTGACTATACCCTCTTGGTAAGTTCACATCCGCTCTGCAAAACGTTTCAACTAGCAAAAGTAGCAGCGAGTAGATAACCTTAGAAACTAGCGCTTCTACTCAGAGACTTTACTACTATAGAGCACATGAATGCATCTTTATAAATGTTAATAACGTGGCTTAGGTTGCCTCTTCGTTCATAACACACAACCCAGTAAAAACAACGAAATGACATAACACAGAAGCAACACTAACACCAACATTCTAAAGCTAACACTATTGTGAAGTGAAATCAAACTACCAATATATCACTCGGATATTAAATACCAAATGTGTCGACACTAAACAGACTAGAAATTACAACATGAGTCACAGAATAATGAATATAAAGCCGAAAAAGCACCTCAGCATGATTCATGAAGTAAGAACGGGTATTTAATGTGTGAAGGTTGGATACAATACTTGGTCACTCAAACCTCAACATGAATGATCTTACACTATCTGACAAATAAAGATGGATATTTGCATAGATATGTATTGGTTCAATTTATCACACTTCTGAAAAGTAAACAAGATTACGGAACAGAAATACTATCACACGACAATAAACACGCAAGAGGATAAAGATTCAAAAATCAGCTCCGATTTGAAGGATTCTAGCCATCACTGATTTTTAAAACTCCAAAGAACTTAACCATGTAACCTGTAAATTAAAGTGGTATCCGTTAGGTAAACCCAATGTCTCCATTTTTATCTGATTTCATAGTCGACCCTTGTAGGCTTTAGAGACTTAAGGACTAACTTGTTGCCTGGATACAATTTTGTCGATTTAGAGTAGGTAGGTGAAGCCACTGGCAAAATGTATACTTCTGAACACCATGAACAGAAATCTTGGTAAGTTGGCATGCGATTCATCCGTGCCACAATTAAGACGATGCTGCAGGATGGACCTACACCAACTCCTAGCTTAAGGATAGAAAGTGAGCTGATTAAATCTCTTGACCACTTAACTTACTTGAGAAGTTACATAAATCCTAATGAACTGATTGCTGACGAAATCTCAGTAAAACAAAAAGGTCAATATGACACTTGCCGACTCACGTCATCTCTGGTGTAGATGCGACATCAATCGACGGACGTGTGTACTGCGCAGCAATCCCTTCCGTCTTTACTTTCACCTGTCAAAACAGTAACTGAAAGTAGAGGATATGAAGAGACGAGTTTACGTTCTGTTCCCTATGCTGAGTGGCAAGCGATATTGAGGCTGTAATGTTAGATAAGGAGGAAAGTCAAACTATGGGATCGTGAAGTTGCATTAATTAAGATGGCTAAGACAAGTATTTCAAGTCAACGCTTTCCTCATCGAGCAGTGTTACGACAAGATTGGGAAAGAATTGTTGGTAGTCAAATCAAAAACCGGCACAAATCCACAGTGTTTGACCGCTGATGTCAGTGGCCTATGGAGGTGTAGATTACCTGGCTAGGGTCCTAGAGATGCTAAAATCCCATAGCTAGAGACTGTTAATGGCATAGAATTCCAGCTAGCTGGTCATTCATACAGACTTAGCTTCAGTTAACTTTACCCAAAACGAGTTTTCTGTAGCAGACTGAGTGGGCAGCCATGAGCTGTCACTGACGCATCACAATATAGTGAACTAATAAGTTCGCAAGACTATATAGGTGACGGGCTGACGTAACGATTTCATAGTGTGAACCTCCTACTGAGAATTGGTAAGGGAAACTAGAAGACAACACATGTACTGAACAACCGAACACCGCTTTACTGGCTTCCGAGGAAAGAAATGTAGGCTCAAGTAAAATTAGACAAACATCAAGACAAGCTAATAACCTATATGACGACTGATCTAAACATTACAAGGAGGTGCATGTCATCTTGTTGTCAGCGGGCTAAAAATAAACTTCGGGAAACTTTTGGGGACTAGGTTCTTTGAAAGCGAACCTTCTCTTAAATACCTCTATTCATATCTACTCCACATTTTCACGTGTGAAGATTAGAACTACGGCAGTCCTGCTGAGTATTCAATTGCGTTGATTGTAGACTAGTAAGCTTTCCACAACATGGACGATTTTAGGGTATTTGAAAAGATGATCAGTCTAAATAGCCGACTGAGTTTCAACATGCAACTTTGTGATTAGTTTGAAGGTATTAGAAATTGAGAAACCATGTTAAGTGTGACAATGGTTCACGACAGTGATATTCAACTAAACTTCCCGGGAACATTGGAGTAAAATAATATGCAATTCAGGGAATATTCTTGATAATTGCTCCGATGTCATGTGAACTGTAACAAGTTATGTGGCGGTAGAAACCTTGAAATTATGGTTTCACCTCAAATCAAGTCAACTAGTTAATTATTTATCACACATGAAATCTGTAAAGAAACGCGTTTTTAGACTTAAAGGGGGTACATACACACCTCATTCAAGTAGAGAATTGGGTCGGTCTTTAAAACTAATTTTGAGCAGTCAATTAATTAAATTATTACAAATTGCTGCTCAACTGAGTCAAAAATCTATGTAGCGACAAGGATTGGTCTTAGGTGAATATATGTACAAATGTGTCATAATAATAGAAGTATATCAAGACTGCAGCTCAATTCCAAAAGAATAGCAAGTTATTGAAAAAATCAGATAGTAAATTTAATATTCCAACAGTCACTCCACACCAAACTAGGACATTTGCACCCTAACTGCACAAGTTTTTTAAATGTTAAAGTAAACTACACGTGCTTATTTAGTTAACAGGATGGAACCAGGATATTTCTGGATTCTGCAGGACAATAGGCAAGGTTACTTCAAAAACCCCGATAAATAACCTCGACAGCAAACTCCACCTCTATTTACCAGTTGCCTTGCATCTCTTTTTTCTACCTTTGGGTGGTCTTTGCGCACACCTGTTCACTGACAACCAAGTTCGCTTTAATATACGATTCACTTCTACGAACATCTAACCATTGTATAACTAACGTGTGCATCAACAACTTTCAATAACCTATTAGGAATTTACCGCTTATGAGACCTTTCATTTAAATATTTCAGAGTGTGTTTCGACAAGATATCTCTCAACTTAATGCTTATCAAACGAAGAAACCCCGCATATCTAACGTTCACGAGATTTAATAGAGGGTTACTATTTACTAGACCTTCAGTGATCCTCCATGATTTTTTAATTACCATTAAAAACCTAATTATTCCAGACACTCTACAATATCACAATATACTCAAGTCTGTGAGCACATGATATTAATATCATGTATCAATTAATTTGTGATGCTGACTTACTTCCAGAAATGATCATGCTTTGTAAAAAGTAAGTTATTATTGTTGAAATATATCCGACACATCCATTACTGCGATGTCTGTAAATATCCACGTTGTAAATGAAAAAAAATCCGAATCCCCTAATGGCTCTGTTTTTTGAAACAACAAGTTAATAGGCCAAGTAACCAGTAAAACAAAAAGGGGACAAAACTAGTATTCTATTCTATTTCCATGACTGTTGTCTACCGCCATGAAAATTTCGCATAATGTGCGTCAAACGCATCAATATTTCTCATAGTCATAAGCAACTGATTATCTCTGGACAGATTACAATAGACACTGCTCAATCTAAAAGATTCAAATGGCGCTGATTTCAGTTTGAATGATACGATTCCCCGTTTGCTTGCCTCAACTCCACAATTATTCAACCCTGCTTCCTTACACTCCTGAATACTCAGAAAATAACGCTATAACTTCAAAGCCTGCTAAACTGGGCCGAAAAACACCTCGTAGTTAGATAGATAATCTGGGTTACTAGGATACAGTGGTATAACACGGAGTGCTGTCCTCGGTCTCTCCTAATTTATACTACATGTCGAAGAATTACTTCGATCCATCCAGTCTTTCATCGTTGTTTACGCAAACTATCTAAAAATTTCGAAAGGGTCTAAGGACGACACTCACATGGTAACGTCTCAATGAGATCTCAGAAAGCTATTGGGTTGGCCATAAAAATGGTTTCCACCAAAGGACATTTTGAAGTGTACAACAATGTGCATAGGAAGCTTAGGTGCCAGTGTATATGGTGTAGAAGAAATACCATTCCCACTAGCTAAGATAAAGGTTGGTCTGACAGATAGCCAAAATAAGAATGCACCATGTTGCCAGGTGGCATTTCATTTTTAGATCAGTACTTGGCCAGGCTACATATGCTAACAGACTTCGACCGCAAATAGCTAATTTAAGGTGGGTTTCATCACCACAACAATTTAGATAGGTATGCATACCCGAGAAATTGTATTCCTAATATCGCACATGAATAAGATGTGATTTAAAACACAACTACCCACTAGTCCAATGTAAGAAAAATTCAAACACACTGTGAGGCTCAAAAAGACCTTGTGGTCCAGAATGATGATAACATCGGTAGTGTTAGTATTGACGAGTTAAACCTGCCCATTTATACAACAACCCTACTTACGTAGTTATAAAAAGACTCCCAAAAGCGACAGTTAACAGCGGAGATACCATTGCGCCAACTGAGAAGGCTGGTGGGCAAGTTAACCATGCTTAAGCTTTGAAGCTGGAGGAGGTTCTGGAAAATATATGAAGCAAATAATATAATACTGTTATTTTAATTTTCTTTGGATCCCAGTGACATATAGGGATGGCTCCAACAATACATCTCCACTTAATTCTGTTTTCTGACCTCCTCTTCAGCTGTCTAGCCACAGAGTTGTCCACAACCTCCCATCTCCTTCCCACACGATCTTCTCCATGTGAATCGCACACTGACGACGGACTCACTGCTTCCTGCTGGGATTCCACTCCAGTGACTGTCTGTACTGAGCCCGATGACATTTGACTGCTTCCTACCTGATCCTTCTGCTCTTTCTCCCACATGTCTGTTGAGCAATCGGTTTTTCGTTAGTTGGTTCGCTTCCTCGTCAGATTTTCTTGCTACTGTAGCTAATAATAAAAGGTCGTAGTAGTGGTAATCTTGCGGTTTGACAAACTTCTAAAGGCCAAACAACAACACCTTTTGATCCACCGCTAAGTTCATCAACTAGTATCAATCAATCGTCGTTGGTGTTGTCATCCACAATGAAAGGGACCTCCACGAACTCACGTGTCTTATGCTATGACTATGCTAATATTGGTCCATTTGAAAAGACGAATGTCAGTGGCCAGCTTAGTGAGGATGAACCAAATGTGTATTTTGAATGTTACTATTCTTGGTGTGAATTACTCTATGCCTACGCTTGGTTGGTCAGATACGTCGTATGTTTGTTAGTCATCTACATTCCACGATACAATGACATGGGCGTGTCACCGTTCAGAGTTGAAGATATAAATAATAGAAGGAGGTCACCAAACAAACTCTACGACGATTTTCCAACCTGGGGCGTCAGCCTCAGAAGGGTTGTAGGTGTACTGCTGTAAGGGGGTAGTACATCGGTGCGCAGTCCATCGTACTTGGTTTGTTGCTTTTTACACATTCATGTTGTATATACTGAAATGGTATCATCTTTCACCTATCCGTTCGTAATTTCGTTTGTGTCCGGACGTCCTCCACTTGTATCATCAACCTGAGAAGGAATGTAGGCGTACTGCTGTAAGTCCTGCAGTTCTTCAAGGGTAGTTCGTCAAGGCAGAATCCAAAACATTTGATGTATTAATTGTACATATGTTTGTGTTAATTAATTGAATGGGTTTCGATTCATTAAATTGTTGGTTTATTGTATAGTTGTCTCATCGTGTGAGTCATCTTGCAATGTTGTTGTAAGTACTTCTGAAGTCGTTTCTAGCCCTCTAAACTTGTGAACGAATCGAGTAGTGTTAGAGTCAGTGTATGAGAATTGATACACCGGGGAGAGGATTGTGCCAGAGTGATATGAAGCAGCCAACACCCCGTGGACCAGATCAGTGGTGGAATTGTCGACAGAGAGCGAAGGAAAGTTCCGATCACTGAGGAAGATCCCACACGCCGAATAGAGCGTACTGGTGTGATGCTGTATGCTTGTTGTGTGTTGGGCTTCATTGTCCTGCTTTTCTATTTTAGCCTAGTCCCGGTTGGCCAAGGTTCCCGCATTGGCAGTTCAGTTCAAGGTTATCGGTGCTATGGAAAAAAGAGATGGACCCTTTATTGCTGGGGAGTGTGAATGGAAGTGAACATTGAATGTTGGCCTTGGTCGCCATTGGTGGGCAACTCGAAGGCACGAATGGTTCGATCGTGTACAAGCTTGACGAGAACGACCAAAAACGAATAAAAGTAAATAATAAATTTGTATAAAACATTTGTTTATAGACTTGTATTATTCTCCGCTTTAATTGCCGAACAGTATAACTTCCTTCTCGCAATAGTGGTGTTTTGGAGCTAAAGTCGAAGAAAGTACATAGTATTTATCGGTGCGGAGCATCCTTGTAACAATAGGAGTTTAGGGATAAGTTCCTTGACAATCATATTTGGGTGCATAATGGATTTGCAAAACCGTTAAGATGACTATGTCCTCACGCAACTTCCTGGTCTGCAACATTCCAGAAAGAGAGCCTATTGCCCTACTTAAAACTTCGTGTAAAGGCTTATAATATGTGCGTCGGTAGCACAGTGGCTAGGACTCTCGCCGACTATGCACATAGTCCGGGGTTCGATAACATACCAACGCGCACCTGATATCAATGGTCGGCCAGCAAAATTTGGGCTACCGATATCACATGCTGAAAATTCCATACTTGTACCAAAAATACTGTGAGGTTTCAGGCCATAATAAAAAGAAATAAAAAATAAAATATATCGTTAACAGATTATCAGGTTTTGCGTCTTCGTAAGAAATCTGCAAACCACTCATGTCCGTTGCTTTTCAAGTTCAGGTCTATTGAAGAATCTAGGAATTTTCTGGAATTTGTTAAGATAACAGGCTTTTCAACGCCACACACTAACATCAGGGTTGCACCTGATTCCACATCATGCCGAAGACAATGCCACTCAGTAACACTGAATGCTGATAACCCCAACAAGACAACTGTAGGTGATGTTACATGCGTTATTCCGCCTGGTGATATACCTAATGACCGCATGCATCAGACACTTTCGCAGGCACTGACTAATATTGCCCGAGTATTATGTAAAAACACTGAAACGTTGGGCAGAGATAAATCAACAGAACATGATGTTGAAATACATTGTTCGCATACTGACACAGACGTCAGGAGCCAGAAAACATCAAAACCCATCCTACTCATGTTCCACCAATATATTATATAATATAATAATATAATATTTTATTTCTGGAACAGAAAACAGCCATTTTTACAGGCATCAACATATGTACATTAATTAGAACTTATGGAATATATAATATGATTTGTTAATCTAGAAACAGGTTGAATACTGGTAAATGTGAGAGAAACATTTAAAAAGAAATGTACAAATAAGGAAACAGATCATTATTGAGGTCCGCTTTCGACCGAATAAGATATAGCGTCAAATGAAACTGTAATTGAAAAAATACGGCATGTCAATTTCACGCGGGAATTATAAATAATAATGTGTATTCTCATATATACATACAAATTTACATGAAAATGCATGCCATTTTTACAGGCACGATCAAGTATGATATAATATCAAATCGTAGATTGTCTACAAGTTAATAATGTTTCAACAGTTAAATATTTGATATATATATATAAATACACATTGTCTGAACTAGGCTGTATAGTTATTGAATTGTACAATTGTCCTCCTGGTTGAGCGGGAAAATCGACTTCGTTTCGTTTTCATCCCGTGGGTTGTCGGCATACGATAACCAACAAATATTGAGGTAAGTACAACGTTTACAAGGGGTTGAAAGCTGTTTTAGAAAAGTAAAATTGCCAAGGTGGATCAATAATGTGTAATGAAATAGGTAAGTGCAAGTATCATTAATAGATGCATTTATAAAGGAAACTCCCTAGGCTGACAACGTTCATTTGCAATGTATAATGCTTCCTGCACAGTTTGAACAATCATGATGTCCACTTTTGGTTTGAATACATTTTTTCCTTACGTCAGTTTTTTTATTTTATGCCTTCTTGTGCATTTGGTGCACAACCGTACCCTACAGAGAATAGGAATAGAATAAGTCGAATCAAATTCATAAAAAGCTATAAAATGTTAGGTTTAATGGAATATAATGAGGATCAAGTAAAGACGTTATTGGAAAATGAATGAGATAAGACAGTGTGAAGTGGTCACACCGACGGAGCTGAAATGGAAAACAAACAGAAAAGCCAACACACCACAAGCATACCCACAGCACAATCTCACACATCAATGACGACCTGCGCCTCCAGACAGAGACCTCCTCTTGACATCTTGCAA